CGCCCGACAATCTTCAGCGCTGAACCACTGGTAAAAGTGGATGAGAGTAGATCCGCTAGTCGTGTTGTGTCGCTTCAACGCATTGAAAATTTGTGGGATCGCAATTCCTCTTGACCTTCAACTGCGCCATCAAAAAAGTCATTGTCTCTTTCAATTTGACAATCCCTCCGTGATGTATTCCACGTTGCGATGTGAGTGAAGTTATGTATCCGTAACTCCGTATGGAATTATTGCCATAAGTCGTTGTGGATCCTCGCCATCACCTTTTTCTGACGGACTTTGCAAAACCCACTGAACATCATGGGAGCCTGGACCTGCTTGGGTGCCCAGTGACACGAAGCTCCGCGTTACTGCATTTATCTCATCTTGGTACACAAAAGATCAACGCCAATCACCTTGAGCCGGAGAAGGAAACTTCAACGTTTTGAGAAACTTGATTTGGCAAAAAGAGACAAAACACTTCCCACGTGTTGTACAAAGCATAATCGATATCAGGTGTGGGTGCAAGGTATGTAGATACGCATATCACAAATCGGAATGGATAATCCCAATCAAAATCGACGCACAACAGCGCCGAAAAAATTTACATGGAACGCAGCATTGAACAGGTATATCGCTGGGCAACAAATCAACGTAACGAGATTTTGGCGCACTTCAAACCCAAAGAGAGCAGGCGCCACCTCTTAGAGAGGAAGGCAAGCCTCATTCAGCATCATTCATTTTTCGATGATTCATCGTCAATTCTAGCTAGCGCTAGTTCATGCGCAAGTGCTATGCATGGCTGCTGAAGTGCGCGAGCGTCGGCTTAAAACAATCAGAAAGCGCTTCCCCCACAATTCTTTTGTAGACGACGACTTCGAGTCCGTCATGCTCGGGTTCAAAAATCATAATGATATCTCTCAGCTGATTAAAGTATTACCGATGGTACGCCTAACCCATAATTATCTCCACCGGCTCATTTACTGAAATGATCTTGGCTTGCTCAGTCCGTAAATCAGACGATGAGGTACCCTTCTTCGCGCTTGTTCATGATGAGTCGCTCAATTTTAATTATTTTCAAATTGTGTGTGGGTTGCTAGAATGTATTGCCTCCCTCGACCCCCCGCTTGCATGCCTCTGTAAGGATATAGCGAAGTGTGGGGATTGCACTGCTCTGACGAAAAACTATTCGTTCCAAGTCATGTTCCATCCTGCGGACTTTCGGGATACTGGTTCCATCCATTTCCCATCCCTGAACCGAACGATCCATTCGAGCTCCTGGCACAGGATAGCACAGATAAAGTACGTTTCTCATAGGCTCTAGACAACTCCTCTGATATCAAACGGCTCACTTGATGACTTTATTTAGTGGTGTTACCTGGGTACCTATGTCACTTCCCCTTTAACCGATCATGCAATGGCGCTGCCTGAGTGGATGATCCTTGACGATGAAGTAGGTGAATGCGCGCCCTCTGTCATGGACAATGGCTACTGATTTTTACCCATCGAGACAAAGCACATGTATTGTATGCGTCTCACTGGTAGCCAACTTGCGGGTCAAGGGTATCCACAAGTGTCGGCAACCATCCTCGCTCAGGAAATTGATAACGGTATCCGTCAGGTTCCTTGCTTTGCATTGCACTGTGTGGGGTTCAACAAGGAGCTGTATCACGGTCTGCACGAATGCCTTGGGAATATCTTTTGATGTTAGATGTAAGATGTGTATTTCTAGTCTATCATGCGTTAGCAAAGTCAGTTTTCAATGATTGGAATTTAGAGCGCGATTATATCCATCAGTAAGACTCCCCATGCTGGGTCTGGGACAGACTGGTAAGCGGAACGACTATGAATGAGTTCAATAGGAAAAAAACTCTTTGCCTGGGAGTCGAACCCAGCTTTCGCGCGGCCATTTTTGATGACAGGCGCGTGTACTAACCGATATACTAGCAAAGACTACGTAAGAATGTCACACATTAAAGTATTTGTTCCCTTGTGTGTCGGATCTCTCATTGACACAGGTACATGTACTTAGGGAGAGAGGAGTAAAGTAATCATTATTAGAAACAGTAACATAACGCAGTGTCAAGGACAAGAAGGCCTCTTTTCCCAAAAGGTTGTACGATCCTCCCTGAGCCTTCATCCAAAAGGGGTGGCCATCCTACGTACCACTCCGTAGGGTATTCATACGAATGAACCCCCTGAGCAACGCTGATGTCTTCCGAACCTGCGCACGCGGGGCCGTCTCCAGACCACGCAATCCCCAGGCGGATGACAGACCCACTAAGCCTATCGAGGTCCGCTTTCCAGTTCCTCTCAAACGCAATAAACATCTTTTCGAAGCCAACTGCGATAGCCGGGTAGTAATCTCCAGGAAATGTGGCTATCTTACGGATGAGAGGAAACTGAGCGCAGTTGTGCGGGATGGAAAGGCTGTATATTGTGTTCGGCTTTTCACAAACAAAGGTGAATTGGGTGGAGGACGCGTTGATGGACGCCTCTGATATCCCCCCGTTAGCGGTTCGTTCGCCCGGCGGGCAGGGAAGTTGCCAACGGAGAAAGGGCAAAGAAGCAAGTTCGGAGTTGCTGTCTGGTTGGACATCGTATACCAAAATGTTGGTTTTGGTGAATATTAATATTCGGTTGCCTGGAAGGAGACGAATGTGATGCTAAAACGAGGACCGTTAGAAAACGTGCAATGCGATCACAAAAAGCGCTCAACTATTGTGTCCTGTAGTGCAATGACCTGTCTGCAAAGGGATGCCGAGGAGGACTGGAGCCAATCAAAGATGTCGACATGACAAGCGCCGTTTCCACTGTGCATTATGCGCGCAACAAGATTATCGCGCATTGTAAGATTAAACACTTGGATTCCATGGCTAGGCGCCTCAAAAGCCCTTAGAAGCCTGGCTTCCAGATATGCTTGACGGCCCCGCCCATGCATTCTCACAACCCAAACATGCACAGAATCGTCCCGGACTGCAACATGAGTTTTGTCAGTCTATCCATCCTTCCAAAAAAAAAAAATTCGCTCACAAGTCCGGGAATTAGATGCAATGGCAAGTGTAAATGCAAACTCGGGCGAATCCCCATCAACAGCGACACACGTAGACTCTATCCTCCTCGAACTAGGAAGCTCTAATAGAAGTCTTCCTTGGACCCCAGGCGCGTCTAAATCATACGCGATGACAGCCCCATCACCGCCTCCAATCAATAGCCACCTGCCTCCGGGGACAAGACACGCTCGGGATACGTTTTTATCAATCATGCGTATCGCAGTCGGCTTTCGATTCGCCGACGTCCAACCAGCATCGGCGCTGACGCGGCGGCTCACCCAGTCTTCGAGTTCAGGGGCAGACAGCGCGTCAAGTGGCGCTTCAAGTCGGGGGGTGTGTTTATGGCCACTGATGTATCGGCGGAGTTGTGTACGCCAAACGGAGAGTGTTTTGGATATATCATGTAAGTAACGGCAGGTCTGCAATTGTATATGATGGTAGTCAGCAGTGAAGATGTATTCAAGGGACACATTGTCGCACCTTTCGCACGTTCATAAGTGAGAACCAATCCAACTCTTGGAGGATCTCCGTGATAGTCTCTGGAGGAAGGAGGTTAATCATAGACGGTGTGGTAGCCCATGCAGCTGGTGTGCACGAGGTCGAAATATATGAACGCATTTTGGTACGTCTAGGGAGGGTAAAGAGAAAAGGGTGCCTGCATTCGTCTTCCATATATACCTTGGGCTAGCCTGCTTCGTCACGGGTAAAAGACCCGATGCCCTTGCTTTGTTTGCGCGGACACCTCCTAGCATCCCTGAAGACCGTCGGTTCAAATTTCTAAGCCGGATACAATTTGGCTTCTACAGCGATCGAAGTGGTTAATAAATGAATGTCAATCAAGTACCACGAGTACCCACTTGTTTTAACAAAGAATATGCCACATTGAACGCCAAGCTAAGCCTGTTGACAATACCTGTGAGAGCTAGAAGTGCCTGCCCGGACCATAATGATGATAGAATTAGACGAGCGTATATGCGTGTGATAGTAAGGTACGAAAGTGGTGATCGATGTCAATTCATAGAGAACACAGCCACTTCCCTCCACTCCCCCGCTTTGCCAAATAAACAATTTATGAGAAACCTGATCACCCTTGATGTCAAGCTACAAATACTTCCACGATGGTTCTTTTGAAGGTAAGTATGTATCATACTTTACTCACGGACAATGCTCCCGTAGTTGTGCAATCAAAACTGAAATACGTACTTCCAGGAAAACATAGCATGGGTGAAAAACATACTGATCGCTTGAATTGCAAGCGGGCCTATCGACCAATCATATGGGTGCCAGCTTGCCATATAGAGGCATGCGGGTGCGGAGAGAAGTAGTCGGTTCATATAGTGTTCCGCCTCAAGGTTGGGCTAATATTTTTCTCGTCGATTGGGTCTTCACCTGATAGGTCACATTGGCGCAGGATTCTCATGACAAGTAAGTAAACTCCGCCTCGACGACGTCTCTGCTTGAAATATGATCATCTGTATCGTCAATATCGCAAGGGCCTACCCCAAAGGAAGGTCTAGAAACTGCTAGCATGGGAATCTGGGTACTTCTACGTGGCCGCAAGTTTGCTCTGAGTCTTACCCTCGTTACAACTGGCCTCGCTATATCTCACTAGATCTTCTCTTGCCCCTAAAGCTCATCAACGGCTGCTCCACGATGCTTCATTACAAGGGCCAATACTATATGCGCTCCTCTTTTGCATGCCATAATTCATTTGAAAGGTGAAACAACCCTTCCGTGCCTACATTTAATAATACATCTTCCGGCGAAGGGTCCCCTCCATCCGCACCGCGTCCTCCTAGTTGATTAACGAAACCAGCTGGACCCTGGCCATCGTTGCCTAATCATTACATCTCTCATGCTTTATGCCCCGATGACTTCGACCGATGCCAATGGGGACCCATTTTCATCCCACACTTTGTAGGCAAGTCGTTCAGACTCATAACAGAGAGATGATTGCTACGGATATCGTCTTTGCTAGTATATCGGTTAGTACACGCGCCTGTCATTAATGATGCACTCCCTTCGCGCGAAAGCTGGGTTCGACTCCCAGGCAAAGAGTTCCATACCATAAGTGTACTGTTTTGCACCCTCGATTTCACTCAGTCTTTTAAGCCTTCATTGTCTCAGAGATACGTCTCCAATAATCGTCATGCGGATCCTTATTTTCCATTAAAAGGCCCACCGATGACATTAACACTGACCGCTCTCTTTAGCGCTCTTATAACATTTAGTACGTGCGTGGTCGATGTCACAGTGTAGCACCCCGCGCCTGTCTCTGGCAACCTGACCCTTCCGGTCGCGTGAAGGCTTCGTTCGACTTCGAGGCAAAGGCAAAAGCTCGAGGGAGGGTGTTAAGCTTTTACATGCTGCCTCTCATCTTTTTTGGAACTCGGCCTGTTCTCTAGGGCGCTCACAGTACGTAGTACATACCTCCCAAAGCCAGCAGTTTTTAACACATGCTCAGTTACATTTCCTATTTATCCAAAACCTGTGAACGTCATCGAGACTACCTGCTTAACCTGAACATTATACTCCCGATGACGCGGCTTCATTTTCCTTCTTCATGAGATACAAGATGCCATAGCTGGTTCAAAGTCTTAGTTACTGCCCATCTATATCCAGATTGCTGTCCTCTGGGGTTCTAACTTGTGATGGTGGACAACGGATGAATATGTAGGTGAAGTACGGATGAAGATCAGCGAAGAACATGTCTTTGCTAGTATATCGGTTAGTACACGCGCCTGTCATCGGAAATGGCCGCGCGAAAGCTGGGTTCGACTCCCAGGCAAAGAGGCAACGGTCTGGACACATGTTTTTAGGAGCACAGAGAGCTCAGGTCTATGTAAAATAGATTCTGCAGTGGTGTGAACCAGCCTCAACAGGGATATGACTTCGTGCCATGACGTCTTTTTGAAATGTATTGATAGTTGTGTCATTACTACGATCAGGTCGATCACTTGTCTTGAACTCACCATACCACTGACATCGTCCTAATGGCCAATGGCAATTGGGGAGACGATCTGCGCAGAAATGTCCGCTCCTACCTCGAAACCTTGTCTCATGGTGCAACGCCCTTCATCACGACATTCCTCCTCATCCATCTCACAGCCCCCGCAATCGCGACACTTGGCGGCTCGAGTCTCTCCTCACAAACAATGGTGCGTCGAAAAACTTGATAATCTCCCTCCCCTGTATGTAAAAAGACGCGTGTTCGTTGCAGCTTCTAGGAAGAGAATACTACTAGACAAGTTTCGGCGAGAAATACCTCCTCCTGGCCCCGCTCGCCGTGCACGCCATCTCCGGAACCGCAATACGCCTCCTCTCACCCGAGCCCTCGAAGCGCCCGCGGCCACTCAAGAGTCTCATGAGCATAGCCGGGTACTCCACCCTCCTCTGCTTCCTCCCCATCCATTTCATGACGCACCGCGTCCACCCCACCACGCTCGACGCCCCGATATCCGCCGTGGGCCCGTCGGAGCTCGACTATGAGTTCGTGAAGACGGGGCTCCGGAGGTGGCCGCGGCTGAGCTGGATGCTGTACGGTGGCCTCATTCTGTCTGCGGCCGCACATGTGACGGAGGGCGTGGCTATCTTGTGGGGTTCGTATTCGGGGACCTCGAATGGTCGGGCGGGGAGCGTCCAGAGGAGGCGGGCGGCGTTGAGGATAGGTGCCTCCGTGGGACTTGTTTTGCCTGTGCTTGCGGGGCTCTATGTGTTGTCGAATGAACCCTCTATGATATTCTCTGCGACTGCGAACCGATATGAAGCTTCGTTTATGCAGTCGTGGCTATATCGTCTGTCTATCTAGATGCTGGGCGCTAATAAAACTAGACTTCGTCGACTATATTAGCCTGTGTAGCCCTCACTGTCGGAACTATTGTCCCCAACCCACGAATGACTTCGAACGCCCTGGAGACGATGGAAGCCATAGTTGGAGCCCATAATTTTATGGCTTTGCACTGCTACACCAAGCCTTCTCAACGAACGGGAACGCGAAAACGCGAAAGCTTGTGTCCAAATGTAGTGTTAGTGTTGCTCTCTCAGCGTCCATCTCCGACTTTGAAGGCCGTCGAAGGCGATACGACGGTGTAAATTCTGACGACCACGCGTTTTCGTCCACATGGGCTCTCAATATATTTTAGATTGAGAACGCACGCGAACGCGAGCATTTCCAGAACCAAACTGAGCGCATCCAATCGACCATCAACACCACATTAAGGATATTCCTTAACCCTGTATCCTGGTCCACGGCAGGTACGAAAAACCATCGAAGCAATTCAGTCACCGCTATCTCAGGAGAGACGGCGATAAGGGACAAAGGTGACGATCATTTAGAACCCAGGAAGACCTGATCTCGCAGACAGCATCGGCGGTGAAAAGGAAAGTTTGTCGCTTGCGTGATCTTCAAGTTCCATTCTTGATCGCGCGGTAAGGTGCAAGGTGTCTATACAATCTAGATTAATTAGGAGTTATCATCCGGTAGCTATTGTTGAGGTTATAATTTAAACCCAAGCCCACGCATGCAAGCAAGATGGGCTTGTATAAGTTCCTTGCATTTCTCGGTGGCCTCTGGCTGGTCGTATTTGAGGAAACAGTCGTCACGAGCGGATTTCGTTTGTGGGCATGCGCAGCATCTAATAAGGAACTGTGAGCAGTAAACGATACCTTTGTAGCGAGCAAAGCGCACGGTTTCAGGCCCTGGGGATTAAGGGGATTCATTTTCGGGTTGGTAGGATCGTAAGGAGCCTGGGGCTCTGGGGAGGATGACGACCAGAGAGACGATATCTAGTCGGAGTTGAGCAAGTCGAAAAGAAGGGAAAGAAATAACCACGCTTACCTTGCCAAACATGTCTACGTGAAGGAGAGTTGCACACAAAAAGTGCTTGAAGCTGACGTCGGGACTCGGAAGTGTGACGAATGCATTACATAAGAAACTGTAGATCAAATCAACTACCAAATATGGTTTCAAACGGTGCCATCAAATGCCCACGAGGCCTGTCAGAACTTACTTGCAGAATGCGGAACGAACGACTTTCCTTGTCAAGTCAGAGTAGACGTTGTTCGCTTGCAGAGTTCTTCTTTCTCGCAGGTAGAAAGAGCCTGGCCGCAACATTTGGTGGTTAGCTTTACGACCGCTCTTTCTTCCCCACCACCATCGTTAGGCTGATGCTTCGCCTATGGGTTCTTGCTCTGTTGGTTTCACTCGTCGCGGGGCAGTCTTGTGAGAATTACGGTTTTCAAAATGGTTCCAGCTGTGCTTGCCCAGTCGGTTTTGGCGGCTCATCCTGCTCTGAGATCGCATGCGGGGGAAATATCTTTGAGGGGTTACAACGCCCTCTAGCCACAACAAGCTCTAGCTCGTTTTCCAATCTCACTGCGTCTGGATGTTCATGCGAACAGGGCTGGACTGGGACCGCGTGCAACGTTTGCCAGACCTCCAACGCCTGTCAAGGAGCATACATCGCGTCTGGTGCCTCGCCATCCACTTCAGACTCGATTTCCGATAGCGAGAATGGCCAAAACACGACGCTGGCGTGCAATACGACTCCGAGAGTGTACGCTTCGAGTCAAATGAGCTGCCAGGTTGACGTGCGTTACATCACTCGAATATCTGCTCAATCAACGGTTCTCACGTTTATTATAGAATCCTACTTTGCAAGCCATCTATCCCCTCACGTCGACCCTCAACATCATTCGCACCTTACAACCCTCCCTCTCTCCCATCCCAAATACAACATCGTACGGCGTGGCAGGAACCGTCTATGCACAGTTATTCTACGCAGGTGTGGAGCAATTCTACTGCGAAGCCGATAATTGCACGCAAAGCCTGGGCAACGGCAGTTCCAGTGCGAACTGGGACTGTCAAAATCTGCAGTGTACGTGCCGTCCGGGGACAACGTTCTGCGGTGGAATCCCGATGTCCAACCTGACTGCGACTATTGACGCCCTCGATGGCACGCTCAGCATCGACTGTGATCCCGTCGACAACGCGACCAACACGGCGACCTGTCAATTCGGGCAGCAGACGCTCCTGCAGCTGTTCCCCCCGTCTGGTCTTACGCTCAACGGCTGCTCCTTTGGAGAGTGCGTCGAACAGGGCGTCATCGATACGGGTGGGAACATCACTGCGAGCTCTTCGACCACGAGTGGCGGAAGACCTCTCAGTGGAGGTGTGATTGCTGGCTTAGCGGTTGTCGGCGGGCTGGTGCTCTTGGCGCTGGTGCTTCTGCTCTTCGGGTACATAAGACAAAGCAAGGCTCGAAAGACTCCGCAAAGCGATGGGTCAGGGATCCAAGTCGGTGTCCAGTGGGAAGGTGTGACGTATTCTGTCCTCGCATCGTCAGGAGGATTCTTTGGCCTTTGGTCCTCTCACGACGAGAAGACTGTTTTGGATAATGTTTCTGGTACTGTCAAGGCGGGTCAAATAATGGCCATCTTAGGTCCTAGCGGTAAGTTTATCCTTTCGACGCTTGTTTTCGCAGGATTCTGATTCCATGAAGGTGCGGGAAAAACGACCTTGGCGGAAATCCTCGCCGGCAAACGAAAGTCAGGAACCGTAGTTGGAAACGTCAGATTCCCTACTCGAAATGGATCTGCAAGCACAACGGCTCCTAGGATCGGCTTCGTGCCCCAGCAAGACATCCTCCCTCCTACGCTGACCGTATACGAGGCTTTGATGTTCGCTGCGCGCCTCCGATTACCAGAAAATATCCAGGACGCTGAAAAGTCCGAGATCGTCGAGGAGCTCATGGCGAAACTCGGTATATCTTCGATAAGGAATGTTCGTATTGGATACAGTGGGGACGCGGGTGGAGGGAAAACGAGAGGCATCAGCGGTGGTGAGATGAGGAGAGTTAGTATCGGTGTAGAGTTGATATCGCGTCCGGATGTCCTCATTCTGGACGAGCCGACTTCAGGTCTGCGTTTGCTAGTCCTTAATCTTTTGCGTGTTCTCAAGTCTGATTTTGGATTGTAGGCCTTGATTCCGTTTCCGCATCCCGTGTTGCTCAGGTTCTCCACGATATCGCTCACGATCCTGTCAATCCTATTCCTGTTAT